AAACAGGAATTCCCTATAATCCTCAGGGACAGGCAATTGTAGAAAGAGCTAATCGAACTTTAAAAACTCAATTACAAAAACAAAAAGGGGGAGAGAGGTGTAATCCTACCCCACAAAATCCGTTAAATCATGCCCTTTACACTTTAAATTTTTTAAATTGTGATGATGAAGGTCACACAGCAGCCAAGAGGCATCAAACTCCTGGTGCCGTGGCATCTGCCGGTATGGCACGATGGAAGGATTTACAAACAGGACAGTGGAAAGGGCCAGTAATGAAGTGGGGGAGAGGCCACGTTTGTATCTTCCCAGAAGGTGCTTCTAACCTCATCTGGGTGCCAGAGCGAGCAGTGCGTCACCACCATGGACCTGGATAACAACTCATCCCACCATTCAAGAAGCTGAATATCACACCTTCGGTGCTGATGCCAGCTCAGCCACCAGCCCCAAAGGAGGAGCAGAGAGTAAGGCAGCAGGCTAAGACTGCCAGAGAAGCTAGTGTCCCCACATGGGGTCAATGGAAGAAGCTGACCACTGATGCTCATCAAGTGGTGAAAAACAGGGGGTTCAGGTAACCCCCTCCAACCTCTTGCCATTCTGGCCTTCCAGGTCCATTGGCTGCTGGTAATGAGGAAGTAGATCGTCTCATTGCCTCAGTAGAGGAGACCACCCCGTTTTCTCATGCCTTGCATCATCAAAATGCCTCTGCCTTGCGCAAGGAATTTCATATGATGGCACTCGTCAGCTGCCAGGTAAGGATGGCTGCAGCAGAAACTTACTGGACTTAAGTTCCAGACCCTCCTATGGTCAATCCAGCCACCTGGACTTGAAAGTCAGTGCTAGTATTTATTTATTTATTTATTTATTTACTTATTTACTTATTTATTATTTTTATTTTTAAAATATATTTTATTGATTTCTTACAGAGAGGAGGAGAAAGAGACAGAGAGTTAGAAACATCAATGAGAGAGAATCATCAACCAGTTGCCTCCTGCACATCCCCCACTGGGGATGTGCCCGCAACCAAGGCACATGCCCTTGACCGGAATTGAACCCCGGACCCTTCAGTCCGCAGGCCGACGCTCTATCCACTGAGCCAAACCAGTTTCGGCAGTGCTAGTATTTATCAACAACACCAATATGGTCGGGGAGAGCTCCGACAAACATGTAACTTCTTCCCAAGGTGGTTATACTTATAATGGCTTTAGTGGGGAGCTTTCTATTTCCTTATCAAAAAGGGAACTTCAGGATGTTTACAGCTTGGTCAAGAAAATAAGACGTCCTATGGTGGCACAAACATTGCTAACATTGAAGGTCCCTGGAAATGCACATGGATATTCTTTAAATTGATGTCCATGGCCTAGAGCAAAGAATATCCTTACATGATATTATTCTACAATTTCATTATAACCTCAATATTTTACAATAGCATATTGTACAATTATCCCAAACAAACTTAAAAATCTAATTTTTGAATGTTTGGCAGTAATTTAAAAGGACAAAAAAGGATTTAATCCCTTCCACTGTGTGGAAGGCCCTATGGGAAGGCACTTGAGCATTCTATTTTGGCCTTTTCTGCCAAGAGGGACCCTCCCACAGCTGTTGCCTGGATTTTCAGTTCATGCTGAGGTTGAAGCCTCGTGGTGGCTGGCTTCAACCTCACCCAGTGGGGTTAGCTGGGACCTCCCTGGAAAAGAAACCTGGGTTCCCCAAGGTATGTGATCAATGCCAGGATCCTGTCAGCAGGCGAGGGGATCCCAAGGCAAGTGCTGGGCATGGAGGCCATAGGGGCATAAGCTACCAAGGAGACAAAACTGAACCTCACATCACCCTGCTTTGGCCCCGGAGGATGGCTGGTTAGCCAATGACAGGTAAGATTCCTCAAGAGGGGGACGATCTAAGACAGGCACAGTCGCAGAGGGCCATCAGGAGAGAACTTGGGGGTCAACAGAGGTGGGACATAGATCCTCACCCCCCCAACATTGCAGGGGCTTGAACCTTCACCCCTTCTGAGGGAGGTCTCCTGCCCCATGGCTGCTTCGTGCTTCCCATGCCCAGCTCAGATCGGGACCCAGGCAACAAACGGAGACTTGTCCAGCTCAAATAGACAATAGAGACTTGGCCCAACTTAGAATGGGACCCAGGCAACAGAGAATTGGCTCATGGCAGCTGCCCTATATCTAAATCCAGCCTAAATTCAGGAACGCTCAGGGCTTTCTCAAGGATGCAAAAAATCCATTCCATTAACATTTAAGATTTAAATTTGACAATAAAATAGTCAAGTTTTCAGATTAATTTAAATTTGCTAATTGAAATATTTAAGAAAATTTCATTGTACAAAAAAGCTGTTTCTAAAGTATTAACTAAAAATTTCTATTAGTAGTTCATTTCATGGTAAAATTGCTTAACATGTAATGAATCTAAAAGCAGTCATTTTTTTGTGCACAAATTAAAAACTTAAAATAATCTGAAGTCATTTTCAAGGTCCACCATTTCTTACCTCTTTTCAGTTGGGTCAAGTTTCTAAGCTTTCTAATTTTCCATTTTCTGACTAATGAAAAGAAAATGAAATTCCATCCAGTATCCTATTTACTTACTGCAGGACTTCTGTGAGGATCAAATGAGATGAGGCACAGAAAAGGCTTCACAGATATTTGGTTGAAGTGTGAAATGTGTTGAAACCGGTTTGGCTCAATGGATAGAGCGTTGGCCTGCGGACTGAAAAGTCCTGGGTTCGATTCTGGTCAGGCGAATGTACATTAGTTGCGGGCACATCCCCGGTAGGGGTTGTGTAAGAGGCAGCTGGTCAATGTTTCTCTCTCATCGACGTTTCTAGCTCTCTATCCCTCTTCCTCCCTCTCTGTAAAAATCAATAAAATATATATTTTTAAAAGAAAATAAATAAAAATAAAGTTTTTTTTTTTAAAAAAGTTAATTAAAAGAAGAAAAAAAGAAGAAGTGTGAAATGGAAGCCAGTCGTGTTTCTGGGCTGAAGAAACTGCAAGAAGGCTAGTCGCTATGAAGAGGAAGCCAGACATTGCTACCTGACATCATTACCAGCGCCCACAACCCATTTATGAGCTGGGCTGTGGACTGCATTTTGCGCCATGGCAGCATCAGCTGCGATTTGGTGGGCTGTTACTCTAGGGTGGTGGCGGGGCCAGTGTCCCACTTGGGGGAAGCCGAGTGTTGCTTTGTTGGCACCAGGCCCCAGCTGTCGTTTCTCTGTAAATGGCCAGTGCATGTCACAGCAGCCCCTGTGTTGAGTGTCTGCCTCCTGGTGGTCAGTGTGCACCATAGCAACCAGTCAGATGGGCGAAGAGACACTTAGCATATTAGCCTTTTATATAGATAGATGGATGTGGGGGGGGCCAAAGTTTTGCCTCTTCAAAATATGCCTTTTAGGACTTTGATTGTAGGCTGGTTATTAAGAAAACAAGACTAGGAAAGAAACTTTGACCCTCCCCCTTATCTGCTCAAAGGAATTTAAAAAGAAAAACCTACTTAAAACATAATATCATAGATTACATGTGCCAGACCCTGAAAAATCTAGCAAAGCCTGTTTGTTGAACTTCCTCTGTGTAGCATTGTTTCTGAGTGGCCCAGCAAGCATTTGTTTATTACATGTTTGCTCTTTCTATCCATCTCTAAACTGCTTGTTTTCCCTTTAAAATCCCAGATCCTTGCTGCCCTCACATTTATCCAGAATGGCAAATGTCTCAACTGCCAAGTGCCTCCTTGGGTCTCATATTCTTATGGCACCCCCTGCATTATAGCTGTAATACAGTTTGGACATTTTCCTCCTGTTAATGTCTCATGTTAATTTGATTATTATTGGCCCAGCCAGAACAACTTAGAAGGTAGGAAGAAAAATTATTTTTGCACCACCATATGAAACAAAATGGTAATGATGCTGATACTGGTAGTTAATATTTTGAAATCTTATACGCTAGTACTTTTCCCCATGCACTTTCTTCTTTAAACCAAAAATCCCTCCAAGGTTTCAGTAGACCTCAGTTTAAACCTGGACTCTACCACTTGGGAGTCAAGAACTTTGGTGATTTATTCAACCTGTTGCTTGTAAAATGCAATGAATGCAGAATCAATCCCTTCAGGGTCATTATGAGAATTTATAATCACAATAGGAGAGATGCTTACCTCTGTGCCTTGTTCAAAATAGACACTACATAAAGACACTCTGAGAGTGAAATTCAAAGACTTTAGCACTGAGTGTGAAATCCGAAGGGGCTAGGGCAGTGGTGGGCAAACTGCGGCTCGAAAGCCACATGCAGCTCTTTGGCCCCTTGAGTGTGGCTCTAGGCGAATCTATTTTGAAGAAGTGGCGTTAAAAGAAGTTTAAGTTTAAAAAAATTGGCTCTCAAAAGAAATTTCAATTGTTGTACTGTTGTTATTTGGCTCTGTTGACTAATGAGTTGCTGACCACTGAGTTAGGGCGAGAAAGGATTACAACCAGCCACATACTGGTTAGCTGCTCCATGCCCTGTGCACTTTGTTTTCTTACAAAACAGAATGTTTACATCACTCCCAGACACATTGTTCAGTAAAATGGGAGCTCTTCAAGGGCAACGTTTTTGTTAGCTAAGTAATCAGCACACACAGTACTAGAATATGTATGACAGAAAGAAGTGCCAGACCAGCGCATGGAGCTGAGCCTGGATACAGTTGCAAATGACAGCAGGCTGGAAGAGCTCCCGAGCCTGAATTATGCATGGAGACCAGCTCTAGTGATTGGTTTTGTGAACAGTTTCTGTTGATCAATGAGAGCAACTTGTTGTTGGAACCCAGATGCCCATTCATTCTTCCTTACTTTGCTAAAAACAAGCAAACAAGCAAAGCAGAATTATAAATTGCCTAAAAATAGAATGCCCTTGCCCTCCAGCAAAATGGGCCAATTTTAACTTTCCAGGTAGGCACACCTGAAAACCTTACATATCCCTTTGTCACATATTTTTGTTTTACAAGAGAACTGTCAACTTACTAACCTTAAAAAAGCTGCTGCTCAGAGAAGAGCGTAAAGTTAAAAAAAAAGAAGAAAAAAGAAGAGAAAAGAAAAGAGGGGATCCAAGATGGCTGCTCGGGTAGACACCTAACCGCAGCAGCACACAACAATTTCAATGGAATACAACTAAAATGTAGAGTGGACATCGCCCAGAGCTACAGATAGTCGACTGACTGAAAATTCTACAACAGAAGGAAAGAGAAAACCAGAAGGAAAATCAGAGGAGCTGAAAAAAAGCCTAAGGTACGGAGACATGCTGCGAGCCCGCATGCACGTGTGCTCGGAGAGGTCGCAGCCAGAGAGGAGAAGAGGGCTGGGTGCTGCCTGGCGTTCCCTAGCAGGAAGGAAATAAAACCCCCAGCCTGGGCTGAAGCCCCGAACTGGCAGTGCTGAGCCCCAGTTATGGGCCAGACCCTGGGGGCCCAGACTCTGGCAGGGGGAGGCGGGGCTGTGAGGCGGAATCCCAGGGGAGCAGCGAAAAGCAGGGCCCCCGGAGTCACGCGCACATTGCGCGCAGAGGACTGAATGTTGACTCTGATGCTGGATTACCCTAGTGGGAAGAAACAAAGCCTCGGGCGGCGCTGAGCCTCAGTCCGGACTGCTCGGAACCCCAGTTCTAGGCCAATCCCTGGGGACCCAAGCTGTAGCAGAGGGAGACAGGGCTGTGAGGCGGAGTCCTGGGAGAGTGGCGAAAGGCCAAGCCCCCGGAGTCGTGCACATTGCTTGCAAGGGAAGGAATGTTGACTCTGATGCGGGATTGCCCTGGAGGGAAGGAAACAGGAGCCCCGGCCGTGTTGGGCCCCAGTTTCGACTGCTCTGAAGCCAGTCCTAGGCCAGACCCTGGGGACCCAGGCTCAGGCAGGGGGAGACGAGGCTGTGAGGCGGAATCCCAGGGGAGCTGCGAAAAGCGGAGCCCCCAGAGTCGAGCACACTGTGCGCAGAGGACAGTCTGTTGACTCTGATCCTAGACTCCCCTAGCGGGAAGGAGAAAGAAGGCTTCAGACTGGAGGAACTCGACGGGGAGCAGGAGCCCCTGCCTGACGCCGGCCAGCCAGGCGCCAGCAAGGAGCCAGGCGACGGGGCCCCCTTGGGGGTGGGAGTGTGCCCCTGAGCCTTCGACCGCTGAGCGCGGGAAATGGAGCCAAGGCTGGGGGCTGCTTCCTGGGCGGTGCTGACCCCGGCAACAGGCTGAAGCAGCGCAGGAGCCCACGGAGAACAAAGGGGTGCCACAGGCCAACCTGCTGAGCTCCCAGGACAAGGAGGAAGAAACCAAAGAAGTTCTCAATGTGAAGAAATCAAGTGAGAGCAAAAGATAGTAAAATTACTTAAGAAAGAATACAAAGAAGATCTTGAAAAATCAAAGACTAAGTCAGAACTCAACTCACCAGCCAACATTGCAACATAAATGCGTTTAAAAAAAAAAAAAAAAAAAAGGACAGAATGTTGGAACAGTGGCGGCCAGGCCTAGAGTGGCCAGGCACAAGGCAGTGGCAGCTGGGCCCGGAGCAGCAACAGCCAGGCCCCAGAGCAGCAGCAGCCAGAACCAGAGCATCAACAGCCAGCACTGGAGCAGCCAGACCTGGGGCAGTGGCAGCCAGGCCTGAGGCGGAGGCGGCCAAGCCCAGGGTGGCCAGTCCAGGAACACCCAGACCCGGAGTGGCCAGGCCCAGAGAAGCCGGGCCCAGAGCAGCCGGGTCGGGTGCGGCCAGGCCCGGAGCAGCCAGGTCTGGTGTGGCCAGGCCCAGAGCAGCGGCTGCCAGGCTGGGAGCGGCCAGGCCCGGAGCGGCCGGGCCCGGAGCAGCCAGGCCCAGAGCAGCCGGGTTGGGTGCAGCCAGGCCCAGAGCAGCAGCTGCCAAGCTGGGAGCGGCCAGGCCCGGAGCAGCGGCTGCCAGGCTGGGAGCGTCCGGGCCCGGAGCAGCCGGGCCCAGAGCAGCCGGGTCGGGTGCGGCCAGGCCCGGAGCAGCAGCAGCCAAGTCCAGAGCAACTAGGTCGGGAGCGGCAGTGACCAGACCCGGAGCAGCTGGTTGTGGAACGAACCAGAGCAACAGAGGCCAGGCCCGGAGCAGCCTGGCCCAAAACAGCTCGCTCCTCGCCTGCCCCTGCCCCACGGCTGCCTCTCAGACATGGCTGGAAACTTTTGCGGGAACTTGAGGGTCTGCTGAATCAAGTGATGAAGGCTTAGATCTGGATGTGTTGAGTTAGTATAGCGCTGGGGTGTTATCTGTGAGTGCCTTGGGTGGGGCCTGGATGAGGCTGGTTGGCCTATTTGGAAATGTCTTTTGTGTGAAGTGTATCATTGGGCATGTGGAGGTATTATTGATATGAGAAAATGCTAAGTAACTGATTTACTATCTGAAAAGGGATTTACTATTGGGGAAAGGGAGGGAGGAAGAGACTGAACATAAACTGTGCACCTATGGATAAGGACAATGGGGGATGGGGAGGGGGCGGAGGGTGGGGTGGGAACCTGGTGGAGGGGGGAAGAAATGAGGAACCTTTGTAATAATATGAACAATAAAGATTGATTTTTAAAAAAAAAATTCAGAGTGCTGCTGTAGAGAAAATTTCTCAATATTAAATTCTGGGGTATATCACCTGGCCCTTCTGAAAAACAAAATAGTAGGTCATTTATCCAAGGTGGCATTAATTATTAATATTTATGATCTCCCACAAACTAATATATATATATGGCTTTTGGCCAATGAACGCCCGTGGATTTTTTCTCCTCACGTGTAAACCTAAAACTAGGTGGTCAAGGCCTTTTTGTTCCCATCCCGCCGTGATTGGGAAGTGGGTGGTGGGCAGGGAATCCAAGAGCGACCTCGGACTTGGGTCAGTCCTCCTCCATCCGGGGCGCTCCGGAGCTGACAGACACCCCCACAGAAAAGAAGGCACCCCCGTTCTCTCCCTCTCTCTCTCTCTGTGTGTCAGTCCTCCTCCATCCGGGGCGCTCCAGAGCTGACAGACACCCCCACAGAAAAGGAGAAGGCACCCCAGTTTGTGTTCTCTCTCTTTCTCTTTTGCATGGTGCTTCTGTTTATTTGCTCTCACAAGACAATTATAATAATTAGAGGGTCTCCTTTAATTACAGTCACCAGTCACAGCAAGAATAGAAGAACTGAAATAGGATGAATTCAAATTCTAAGCAGGATTACAGGCAGCACTTCCTTTTTCTTTTTCTTTTTTTTTAATTAAAGAGCCAGCCCTATGTGCACTTAGTGGTTATCTCGTTGCTGGCCTTGAAAAACAATGCTGTTCTATCCAATTGAGAAGGTGCACCCAGCATGGTATTGAGATTGTGGGCATATCTGGTCTCTGGCCTGCAAGGTCAGACAGCTAAGTTTATCTTCATCATTCTTCAAACGGGCTAAAGCAAACTAGAAAGCAACATTTTATCTAGGAAGAACAGCAGAAAATTCCAAACAACAGTTTGTTGCAAAAGAACCTTTAAAAAGAACTACCTGCCCCTAAAGCAGGGGTCTTCAAACTACGGCCCACTGGCCACATGCGGCCCGCAGAGGAGTCTGATCCGGCCCGCCAGGTTTTTTGGGCAGTGAGCGCAGCCGAGGTGTTACAGTTCGGCCGCCAGGACCTGCATACACACTGTCACTGCACGGCCGCTCGGACCCCTCTGCCTCTTTAAGAGCACAGTGCCTGCTGGGCTCAGAGCGTGCGACGTGCCGCCGCACAGGCACGTCTGTGCTGTGCTGTGCTGCGCTGCGAGGCAATGATGTAAAAAGGCGCCCGCTTCACCCCCAGGCAACGTGGTGTCTGTGTGCTGTGCCTGCCTGTCAGTGAGGTTCTCCTCCTCTCCCTCCACTGCCTTCACCAAAGGTCGGTCGAAAGTGCCATAGAAAGAAATTTTTGCCAGATGGGGGGTTTCTGCCCGATTGGGGGGTGGGGGGTTGGTGACTCATATGAAAATTCCCCTTTGGGGTGGGGGGGAGCGTTCGGTGCTGAAATCAAAATTCTGCCAGTTGGGGGGTGGGCGGTGGGGGGTGGTTGGGAGGTCAGGGCTTCGGTGCTGAATTGCCCATATGGAAAATTCTGCCAGTTTTGGAGGGAAGATGTTCGGTGCTGATATGTGAAATCAAAATTCTGCCAGGTGGGAGGTGGGGGGAGGTTAGGGGTTCGGTGCTGAATTGCCCATATGGAAAATTCTGCCAGTTTTGGGGGGAAGGTGTTCGGTGCTGATATGAGAAATCAAAATTCTGCCAGGTAGGGGGGGGGGGGGGGGTGGACGACTTGGACCAAGTCTCTTTGTGGAAGAATTGAGACTGACAGCATGCCGCCCCAGCCAACAGCCTTTTTTTTTTCCATGAGGCAACCCTGATCGCATCTTCCTACTAATATAGCCAGGCCCATTCCAAACCAGAAAGTCAACTCCAGTATAAAAAGACGATTAAAGCCTTTTAAAGAGGTTTACATTAAAAATTTTATATGCTTTTTCATTTCCTTTTCAGTGTTCACATGCTGATTCCAAACATATCAATTTGGCCGTTATACAGGGAGATATAACCGAACCCCATCAGGGACAGCTGGTCTGCTTAGAAAAGCCTGCAAGAGGTAAGTGTCCACATCGGGGGCAGAGACCTACTAATGGGAGTTCATACACTGTGTGTGTGTGTGTGTATATATATATATATATGTATATATATATATATATACACACACACACACACATATTAGTATTTTACTAATAGCAATTTGGATTCCCTAGGAAACAATGATGTCAAGAAAAAGAAAAATTGACTCCGAGTGTAGGATATTCAAAGAACAGTGGACTTATGATTACTTTTTCACGCGGTACAAAGAAAAAGCTGTGTGTCTGATATGCCAGAATATAGTTGCTGTGTTCGAAGAATACAATTTGCGACGCCACTATCAAACTCAACATAAAGATAAATATGATTGTTTGGTCGGAGAAGTGAGAAAAGATAAAACATTAAAACTGAAACATACACTGACAACTCAGCAAAATACTTTTGTGAAACAGAAGCAGCTAAATATTTCATCACTGCGGGCAAGTTTTCAAGTTGCCAAGCTAATAGCGCGCAATGGCAGACCATTTGTGGAGGGAGAATTTGTTAAAGAATGCCTTCTTTCTGTTGCCAAAGAGATGTGTCCAGAGAAGGCCGATTTATTTAGTACAGTGGTGCCTCGCATAAAGAACGCCTCGCACAGCGAACGCTGCACACAACGAACTTCATTTCATGATTCATACAACGAACTTCGTTTCACACAACGAAGTCGCCCGAGCTTCCACGACCGCTTTGTCCGAGCTTCCACGACTGCTTCGCCCGAGCTTCCACGATCGCTGCCGATGTATTGCATCCTTCCGCGCAGGCACTGCAGGCAGTCGTTAGTCACTGCGCTTAACTTAAGCACGTATCGAGGCAATCGTTCTTCATTACGAATTAAATCACGCACGTATCACGGCAGTCGTCCTTTTAAGTTAAACTCAATATTTTTTTTATATCATGGCTTCTAAAAAAAGCAGGAAGGTGATTTCTGTTGAAATGAAACAGGAAATAATTAGAAGGAGTGAATGTGGGGTAAAACAGTGTGACCTCGTCAAAGAGTTTGGCCTCAGCAAGACCACCATTTTCACCATTTTGACAAATAATGGGAAAACGCGTTTCACATAACAAACTTTTCGCATAACAAACTTGCTCCTGGAACGAATTAAGTTCGTTGTGTGAGGCACCACTGTACAATAACTCTTTCAGGAGCTACAATGACACGAAGGATTGAAGAAATGGGAGACAATTTGCAGCACCATTTGCAAAACTCTGCAAAAAAACTTTGCTATTTTTTCTTGGCACTCGACGAAAGCAATGATGTTCGCGATTCTGCCCAACTTCTCATTTTTATGCGTGGGACAAATGAGTATTTTGAAGTCACAGAAGAGCTTGCTGCACTGCAAAGTATCAAAGGTACAACCACAGGAGTGGATATATATGAAAAGGTTTGCCAAACTGTGAATGGTTTGGAGCTGGACTGGGCTAAACTAGCCAGTGTGACAACTGATGGTGCTCCTAGCATGGTGGGGTCTAAGAGAGGAGTAATTGCTCACATTAAACAAGAGATGGACAAACATAACCATCCTCATCCAATTGCCATACACTGCCTCATCCACCAACAAGCGCTGTGTTTTAAATCACTGAAGTGGGACTCTGTTATGAAAATTGTGGTATCGTGTTAATTTCATTAGAGTTCATGCACTAAACCACAGACAATTTCAGGAATTTCTGTCTGAGCTAAATGTTGCCCATGAGGATGTCCTGTACCACACAGAAGTCCGTTGGCTGAGTAGAGGGAGAGTTTTGAAATGTTTCTATGACTTACTTCCGCAGATTACAGCTTTTCTACTTTCAAAAAACAAAGAAGTACCAGAGCTCAATGATGCAGAATGGAAATGGCACCTTGCCTTTCTGAGAGCTACTCAACAGTTTCAATCTGCAACTTCAAGGAAAGGGGAAGCTCATCTGTGATATGGCATCGAATGTGAAAGCATTTGAAGTAAAATTAGGCCTTCTCATCAAACAAGTAAAGGAGGAAAACTTCAGCCATTTCCCAACAATTCAAAACCATTGGTTGCATTCCCAAAGAAAACATGTGTGGATTCACTGGAATTGTTGCAAAAGGAGTTTCAATTTAGATTCAAAGAGCTTCATCTCCATGAACAGGACATACAGCTTTTTCGTAACCCATTTTCTGTTGAGATTGAAAATGTCCTTACAATTTACCAAATGGAACTGGCTGAACTGCAGAATTGTGACTCTCTGAAAGATGCATTCAAATCAAGTAGCCTTCTGAATTTCTATGCATCTCTCCCCTCTGAGACATATCCAAATATCAGGAACCATGCACTCAAAATGGTAACCATCTTTGGTAGCACGTATGTCTGTGAACAGACTTTTTCAAGAATGAAACATCTGAAATCTCCAACCAGATCAAGATTAACTGATGCCCACTTGCATCACTTGTTACGACTAGCAGTGACAAATATGGAACCGGACATTGACCATCTCATTAGCCAAAAGCAGGCCCACAGTTCCCATTGAAATACTGGTAAGTGATCTATTTATAAATGTTCATTTTATTTATATTGTATTTGTTACCTTTTTTCAAAATAAGATATGTGCAGTGTGGGTAGGAATTAGTAGTTCATATAGTCCGGCCCTCCAGCTCTCTGAGGGACCGTGATCTGGCCCCCACTTTAAAAAGTTTGAGGACCCCTGCCCTAAAGCCTCACAGTCCCAGTAGTGTAGAGACCGCCTGCGTGTGGTGCTCTTGCGGCTGTCCTGGCCAGATATTTCCATAAATTTTTGCCTCCTTTTTTAGTATATCATCAGCCTTTGGTGGTCTTATTTTGAACCCAAGGTTCGACCCCACAACAAGAACCAGGTCAATCCACAGTCTCATTTCAATCCGGAGAAGGAAGATGTAGGTCAGAGCACCAGGGAGGAAAGGCAGGGATGGAGATGGGGAGGGTCCAGCCTGAAAGTGTGGATGAGGGGGGGGGGGCACAGCCCCCCAATCAGAGGTTGCTGAGTCAGGAAGTGGGAGCGGGAACACACCTTCCATCACTCAGTTCCGACAAGGCAGCCGCTTTCAAAGTCAAAGCTGAGAGAGACACATCAGAGCCCTGGGTGATGTCACTGCTGGCAGCCGGCGCATAGCTCCCTCCTCTTCCACCTGAGCGCTTCCTCCTCCACATCACAGCTCCAGCCGCAGCTCCCAGCAGAACCAGGCCCCCCACGATGCCCAGGATGATGAAGACGAAGGTCTTACCGGGCGGCTCCCATCGGAGGGCCAGCGGCTCGGACAGCCCCTCGTGCTGCACGTGGCACGTGTATCTCTGCTCCTCTCCGGGGGGCACCCGCAGGGCCGCCCACTTCTGGAAGGTGCCGTCCCCCGCAGGCCTGGTCTCCACCAGCTCCACGTCCTGGGTCTGGTCTTCCCCGTCGCGCCGCCAGGTCAGGCTGATGTCCGCAGGGTAGAAGCCCAGCGCCCAGCACCTCAGGGTGGCCTCCTGGGCAGAGACGGGGG